AGATTTTCCTCCATGAATCAATGCATTTGCAATAACAGGAATAGCATACATACACATCTGGGAAATGAAATTAATTCAAACCTCAAACACCAGACAATACTCAAAGAACATTGAAAATCTCAACTTTTATGCAACTAACACAAGCAACAGGAAAAATCTGAGAAGCATTTGCAGTATGCATATCTCCCAGCCAAATAACAACATTTATGCAGATCTCTTTCCTTTATTGCTGGAGGAAGTGTCAAACATCTTCTATTTGATAAACCAAATTTAAATCCCAACTGAAGTACCCATAGTTGTGATAAGCATTTCATGTGTGCATTATGTTAACAAAAATGTTAGAATTGCAAAAAAATGAAAAATGAAGAGGGAAGTATCTTACTTCATTTAATAACTACGCATTCATATGGAAGTAATGCTTTATGTACAATTACTGCAGCAGGTTAATGACTCCCTAGAAAATTAAAACTGCCCACAACTTTTCAATTTAATTAGCAAAACATTTTACCCAAGCAAAATCTACTAGAGAATACATACTTTACAGCACCAATACTTCAAGACATCAGCCACAAGATATAGTCCAAATTTAAGAATGCATCTTGGAAAGAAAGAGCATACCCTACTATCCCGAATACCATGTGGACTGCTAGCGATTTTTGGTCTAAAAGCATTTGGATTACGCTCCAACGTATTTTCAACTGCTTCTCGCCTGGCAGCTTCATTTTCAACGTTATTAAAACAATTTACACAGTTGCAGCCATCACAGTATATTCCAGATGCAAAGCACTCACAGTACCTGATCAACAAATTGAAGAAACAGGCACCATCAAGAGGAAGCAATGAGCTGAATAAATAGTCATATGATTCATATGGGTATCTATAGCAAAAGCCACTGAAAAACAGTGATCCAACAAGGAGACCAAAAGTGTGGGCGGGATATAATGTATCCTGAACTGTAAGAATCAACTTATTTCTTTAATTGACTAACTATGGTACAATTACAGTGGATGTTTCGGAAGAATTTTGTAACTGCAAGGCTTATTACACAAGGATTGTAAGAATCATAGAAATAATATAAATCCAACTAGATGACACTTTGTTGTCATTAAATGCGTGCTATACTAAAGGTGAAACATTTAAGAACAATATTCACAATTTGCCTTCTGAACGTCAGCAGTGTCAAGTTTCCATTGTTACAATAGTACAAAGCAAAAGCAATTTGAGTTTCTAGTTCAATTACAATCTTGTACCAGAACTTACTGATCACAAGTAACTCAAGTTCCGTAGATTACTCATTAACTATGCCAATAATGTCCCTCATGTGCATTAAAAAACCCAGACCAGCTGTCATAATGGCATAAAGCTCTATGTGTTTTGGTCCTAAACACGAAACCATATTGAAGTGACAGTCATTGTAATTTTCTCAATTGAACTTTGAAGGCAAAGGAAGTTAAATCTGAATCTTAATTATTGTAATTCTTTCTTCCAGAACTTTGAAACTTCAATTGTATAAAAGATCTTGTCTTCGAAAAGATTAATGAATTTCAAATCCAACAATTCCTTTTCCTGAAATTTTGATATCCCTATTATTCTAAATATCGTGTTCTTTGATTTGAACGATAAGAACAAACCCTCAAAGATAAATATGAAAAAATAGGGTAGTCTATTTTCAAGGGCATAACTCCACGTTGTCATGACTTGTAAAAGATGACGACATGTTCTTCCTTTTACTTGTATCTTCAGGAATGGTGCAAATTATGGGCCAAGGCAAATAGTCTCCAAGCACTTCCAGGAGAAAACAAATTAAGCTAAAGCTTTAGATGTAACGTCACAAAAACACAAATGTAAATCCACCTCAACTGAATTGTGGAAAACCACAACCAAATACACTTATGAAAAGAGGACTGGCTACTCGGTCCTATGAATTTTGCAATGGTTACTTCCTCGTACTCACCCCAAGTTGGACAAGTATTAGTCTTAGTAAAGTCAATATAGCATTCCAAATTGTCAACCCAAGCTCCCAACACTACACCTAGTTGTAATAAATATCAAAGGAAATTTGTTGCAACTTCAAGATGATAGAGAATCCTTAAAAAATCAATAATTTGGTAAGTGCTCGAATACATCAGAAGGGCATAAATACAGCAACAGGGACTTACAATTTCAAACATCGCGAGTGTTTGCAATTACATTGTTTTTGTTTCTTGGGGGTACCATCTTTAGCGTCACCTGCATTCGATCTTGGCCGTGGTCTTGGTGATTCAGGTTTCCTGAAAAAGAGGAAAAGTAGTTTATTTTCCTATACCAACTAGAGAAACTTTAAGCATATGCAGAATGTTCTAATAAGTTTGTATCTGATATAAAGCAGAAATTCCAGTGCATAACTGAAAACACCAGACACTCTGTAACAACCAGGTAATAAAGAATCAAGGGGTTCAGACACAAGGCATAGCAAGTTCATTCATTTTACACATCCATGGACGTTTCCCTTCATACAGGAATAGATAACAGAATGAAAGGTAAGTGTATACTGATATTAATACAAAAGTGAAGACAAGCATAGAAAGAGCCCAAAACCCAATTTTTCCATTGGGTTGGTCGCAAGGCATTTTATACTTTTATAGCTTATGCTCGTGGAATAGAACTCAATATTTTCACAAAGTGCTCAAAATATCATGGTCTAAATGCTGCAAGTGCGCACAAAATTCAAATTTGTCCCAGCAATCAGATACCCAAATAAGAAAGCGCTTATCTTTCCATCTATTTTTTCAAAAAGATAATGTTTAGCTCTTGGCCTACATCCAAATTCTTCATTATGACTTTCACTTGATAGATTTAATTCAAAAATGGAAATCTTTTTTATAATTTATGAAATGAGACATACAATCACTTCCTCTGAGGATGAGCCAATGCTTGCCTCTAATTGGCACCAAGCAAAAGGGCAATTTATATTAACAAACGTCAAATTCTTGCCCTATAAATTGTATATAACGCCCAGAATAGAAACTTCAAGCAAAAGTTCAAAACTTTTAAATTTAAAATGAAAAAAGCCAAAAAAGGGATTCAGGGAACTACATAGGCCTCATCTGAGGATGTACAGCAGGTGGCACTGGAGGTTGCTGCATGGACATCAAAGGTATCGGTGGCTGAGGCTGTGGCTGCAGCTGAGACTTCGGCGGCTGAGTCGGCCTTGGAACTGGCTGCTGGAGCTGGGGCTGCGGCAGGCTCGGCATAACGGCCACCTGCGGCGGCTGAGTTTGCTGAGTATGCTCCCTCAAAGCCGGCGTTGCTGTAGCAGAAGAAGCCGCGGCTGATGAAACGCCAGTATACCCCGTAAAATCGAGCTGCCTGGCTAGCTTCTTCGGCGGAATATCAGTCCCCACTTGCGGCGGCGGCTGCTGCTGACCAGTAGTCTCCGATTGAACATTTTTTGGAGGGAAATCCCCTCCCTCGCTTTGCTCCATTTGAATTAACGATAACGAAACCCAAAACGCAAAAAGAAAAGGAGAAAGAAAAATTGAGGCTGCCAATTTCCGTAATTCCTCGCTAAAAAAACTAACAAAATAATCTTCAATGGAAATTGACAAAATCTCGCCAAAATTGATCACTTCACAAATTAGAAATCACAAAAAATTCAAAACTTGGAATTGCAAACCCTGCCATTACTCAGCTCAGATTCAAATCAATCAAGAATTCACCAAGATGTCGCCTCCAGAAAATAGGCGCAAAATTAACAAGAATTAACGGCAGCAGGAGGTTCATACGCGTGTGGATACAGGTATATACAAGTGTATGTATAGGAGGAGGGAGAAAGGAAGACGAGTCGGGGATGGGATGGGGGCCGGGGGATTTCAGAAGAAGAAGAAGAAGAAGAAGAGAGAAAAGGCTTTGGCTTTGTGGTCTTCTTGTTGTGTCGCTCCCTCTTAGTTTTGAAATTTGATTTTGTAATTATTGAATGGTTAGATTTACGGGGGTAATCCGATCCGACGGCCAAGGATCAGTATATTGATCTGACGGACCAAATTCATAGAAGCATTTGTGGTTGTTGCGTGGACGTACGATTAGGACTTCAAGGAATATTGGGCGACAACGCGAGTAGCGTTATCCGATGCTCTCTAGTCCAGAAAAGTTCTAAGTCGACCGCACTTAATTTGGTGCCACGTCACTCGACATAACCACGTTAATCTTTTCAGCTGTCATCTTCAGACGTGCGATTGGGAGGACGGTCAGGTGTTTGGAACAACGAGAACAGACGATCATTGTTAGTGCGAGTGGAGCCCTTCGTCTTCGTGAGATTCCGCTTCCTTCGTTGGAAGGAAATTAATAAAGAAATAGTACTAGAAAAATATTTTGATGGCGCCAAGGAGTCAGCGACGTAGTTGACTTGCTGAGGTGAAAAACTGGAGCTATTCGATCAACGGCTAAGATCTTCCATGAAGGAATGCGAGTTGCTATCGTATCATTTGATCATTCAGCGACGAGGTTGATTGCGGTCGCTGAAAGCCGAAAGGGAGCAGCAACTGCCGACCCAAAGTCTATTATTCATAATCAGAGCAATCATATCATTCCCGAAAATGATACTAATTAGTAATTAGGAAACCCGAAAATAATAATGTGGATGGGCTTCAATTTTCATCTGGATAAAAAACATTGAGAGAGAGAGAGAGAGACCCAGAACCAAAAAACCAAAAAAAAAAAAAGTTAGCAGACGGCATCCTTCCTCCGGGCTGCCTTACACGCCGGTCACAGATTATAAGATGAGTCGCGCGCTGAAACCAAAAACGATCTTTTTTCCTTCCTAAAGTTCCACAATATCGGCGACGAAAATAATAACCCACTTTAGTAATGGCCAGGTATAACAGACGGTATCAGCTGCCTGACCCGCAAGTTTCTCAGAGATGGAGCAGCTAGAAGTTGCCCCTGCCTGTCCTCTGCTCAATACAAGTACCAGCCTGCGGCTTCTAATTCCAAAATGACAGACCGCAAAAAACTAGAGAGTAGTAAGAGAAGACGACTTGGTCTTGGACGAACACTGTAGAAAGCAAAGTGCTGGCAGACACGCCAAACACCCATTACCAACACAAAGTAGCTGAAGGTCGCGGGGGAGAAAAATCTAGGGCCTAATTACATCAAAAACCATGAAAAAGTACTAAAATTCCAAGCGCAAAGCTATTGCCTCTACTTAACCAGATAGTAGTAAATTACATCTGTTTAACCTGAAGTATCAATAACACCAAGAAGAGCTAACGTGCTAATATCCATCACGCCCCATACCACGCCGATCATCTCGACCTCGCTCTAAGTACATATCTCGACGATAATCTTTAGGTGCTGCACCGCCTCTAAGTGGAGAACGACTTCTCTCCCTAGCATCACGACCCCACTGGCCACGTGGAGGTAGTGCTGTTGGCAGAGGAGATGGTGGTCGTCTCTCGTATCCTTTCCTCTCATTGAAGAGGTTATCCCTTGCACGATCTCTGTGTGCCCAGTCCAGTGGTATGGGTCTATCAAACCTATTTCTCTCACGATAATCATCTTCTGCATAATCTGGTCTGTCTCTGCGAAACATAGGATCAGGAAATCTGCCTTCATGTCTAGGATAAGGAGGTCCACCAGCTCTGAAATCTCTAGGCTCATCTCTAGCCCAACCACGAGGAGGTGACCGATAGCCATTCATCATCCTTCCTGGAGAACGATCAGATGAAGGACCAGGAAAGCGTCGAGGGGGAAGTGGCGGAGCAGGATAACCCCTCCGAGGAGGACTCCTAGCAGGAGCATACCGCGGCCTCTTGCAGTTGTTACACACCTCCCTCCTCGCAAAGTTGAGGTTGTTACATCTGCAACATTGACAAGACCAAGTGAGAGAGGAGGCAAAAGTAAAATGGATAAGAAGTTTGTCTGCATGCCTGCAAAATGCAAAATAGAATGATCACATCCAGAAATGCCCTTATATATGCATTACTTACTAATTTCTGTGCTAGACAACACCTTTTTAAAATTTTGGAAGTAATACAGAAAGAATGGCGTGCAAGAATAAACAAGGTGGAGAGTCAACAGGAACTTACTCAGAGCAATACCAATCTCCTTCTCTTGGGCGAACATTTGGATTATTTCTGGGCACAACTTCACCTCTAAAGGGACCTGGACCATATCCAGGCCCATCAAAACCTCTTCCATTGAACCTAGAACCATCCCTTCCGCGACCATACGATGGTGAGTAGTCTCGATATCTACCATGATCTCGCCCACTACCATAACCTCGGCTGCGAGGAGGAGCACCTGAGTGATCAAATTCAGGACTGTAGCGACTGTCTGGTCTATGACGCACTGGAGAAACAGAACCTGCACGCATTCTATAGCCTGAAAGAAGCCAGTGAACCCCAAGATAAGAAACACCCAGTTACCTAAGTGAGATACCAAGTAAATATCCTAACAAAACCAGATTTTGTGACTTTGAAATGCCGACAAAAAATTCAATTAAACCCAAAAACACATTACCGTCACTCAGGCATCCTCTTCTGAAACAATAGCAAAACTAAAAGGCTAACCTAGATATGAGTTAGATGGTCAGCCACAGACAGCCTTTGATGTTACTGCACTGGTACATACCCAACATTACCAGTTATAACAACTGAATCAAACAGCCCATTCCACAACTCAACCTTGTAAACTGATTAAACTAATCTTCCCCTAAACTGGTCCCACCAGAAAAAGTCCATGCTCAACCAAATACTTAACAGTCACCTACATGTATGGAAAGTCCCACATGTACGGAACCAGCGCAGAAGATTACTAAGAGAATACCCAAAATCCATGTTCAAAAGCACCACCAAAACGAATCAGCAAAACCCACCAGCTCACATGAAGAACAAGAAACAAAAAGCCAAAGGGTCTAGAGAGGATGAATAACTAAAATAATAGACCAGTATCCATTTGTCTGAATTCCTTTTGATACCAGCCAGCTATTTTCATATAGAATTCAACCCAATAAGTCAAACCACAACAATACCCAGCAGAAACAAGAGAGCAAATGATTCATGACACGTGACCTTCTTCTGCACTTCACCAATTGGAGCAAATATCAAACAAAATGCAGAACCCGTATGTTTCAATATGTCTTTGACCTCAAACTGTCATTCAACAGCCATCAAATCTATATAAACCAGAAGTAAACCATTCGCTCTCACGATGTAATAATACCCATACGAGTCTTCTGGCAATCCTAGGCAGGCCTCTCAACAAATTTAAGGCACCAAGAAGAAATGAAAACAGAATGTCACCAATCAACCCGCTCAGCTCACAATACTGGAACCAATGAAATTGCATATGTTACCACTAATAATGTGTTTCTTAATAGAGTACTTAATATCTGTTGACTTCACAATTAGTCTTACATAAGTCAACAAACTGTTAATTGGAACTATGAATGCCACCACAAGCATTTTCCAGTATGAATACTGCATGATGGTTGTACATAAGCGTCGTCTTTGACCAATTTGCCAACCATATCAAACTCTTCTATAAGAAACTTTAATCTGATAATCTACATAGCAGCAAACCAATTTTAGAAGAATAAACCCTCAAACCCACATCCAAGCACAATAACCTCACCTACTTTAGCCGGCAATATAGTCATACCCTGTTTGTTTTCCTTGTACATATTATGAAACCCCAAAATAACCAATACCCAGACTATATTCCAGTATCAGCAGTCACATGGACGTGCCTTCTCAAGTTCCAAGTACTTGCACCAGGCAACATTCAAAGCTGTAAAACACAACACCATACTTCATTCATTATCCAAGACTCGAAAAGTTGTTGTGCTCGAGACACAATATAACGAAGCGTAATGATGGGTGAAGACTTGCCTAGGTATTTCCAGTACGTTTATATATAGGACATATTGCTTAGTAGAATGACTGACCATACTGATTAACAAAGATTTGTGTGTATACCCACTTTTCTACTATCAGGAAAGAAAATATTAATTACTCAACTAGAAATGCTAGCATCAATATTACAAAATATTTTCAGAAGAAGCAGAGTCCTCATTACAGCAATAGTTCACTTAGATGCATAGCTCATAGCAAAGCACAAAAGATATAAATGCAAAGAAAGCACACAGAAGGCTGAAAGTTTTTTTTTTTGTTTTATAAAGACATCCCAGCTTGTTACATAGAAATTGCAACAGAACCAAGATGTCCTTTAAAAATAAAACTACAATATAGCAAAAAGTATAAGTAGAAAAATGCGAACTATATTGTGAATGTTCCACTACCAGGAGAAGCAACAGTCTAGACTTCTGCACCAAATTCAGTTTCTCATCATAACTTATTTTATTCTCCTTATTATAACAGGTAGCTTATCAAAAACCAACAAATGCATGCCCATGAACATGTACAAATCTCCAAGAAGGTGAGGAAAAACCATCACGCATTCCCTTTTATAATATAGCAGATTCGAGATGAGAGTTTTTCCTACCAGAATAAGAGAGAAGTAATTGCAAAAAATAAAGCAAGAAAAACAGAACACCATCAAATGTTCCAAAATACAAAAAACACCAGAAAACATGCAATACTAACAAAATCCATTTCAGCAAAACTAAACACACATAACATGCCACTTTGATATTACATAATTTACTCGGAAACTTTGGGTTTTTTTAGATTAATCCATAAAGGATAGATTTATGTTCTATCGCATCTCTTATCCGTAAATCACCCATCTCGAACTTGACAAAGGCAAACCCTTAAGGGAATGGTATAACAACAATTAGCATGTTAAAAAACTCCGAATGCATCCGACGTCATTGAAGCATAATAAAGAACTAATTGCTACTAGCTCTAAATCAGCTTCAAAATTTTAACAATCCAATTCAATTAGCTATAGGGAAAAAAAAAAAAGACAGCCGGATAAACACTTAACAAACAGTATCTCAAATTTATCAATATCTGCACTCACGACTGGTCTAGGGTTTAAAATTTACACAATTGAAAGTAACAGCGAATTCGAGCCAAAACGGAAATTATAAAGACAAACCATGGTCGTCAGCGAAGCGATCGGAGCGGGAGTAAGGAGGTGGCGCATCGCGACGAACTTCCCCAGGCTCGTAGTCGCTGCCTGCTCCACCAGCACCTGTGGCTCCAGCCCCTCCACCGCCGCCTCCGGCGCCACCTCCGCTGTCAGTTGGCCGAACCACAAGGCTGCTCAGCAGAGGTTGATGCGGCGTCGAATGGTCCTTCTCACGTGACCCCATCGCTGCTGCTTCCGTCTTTCCGTCGCTCTGCTCTATATTTCTCTCTCTCGAATATTACCCGCAGAAACACCGTTCGGTGTGTGTCTTTATTTTTTTTGCCGTGAATTTTGTGTGAATATTTTTGGCCCGTCTAAATTTAGCAAGCCGTAAATTTATGTATGAATATTAGGTTCTGGAGTAACACGCCAAATTGAAAATACTTTAGGGTACGGGTAAGTTGCACAAACCTCCCCTAACATTTACCAATTCACGGAGTCCTCACTTCTACTTTTCGAAATTGCACTAACCTCCCATGCAGAGTTTGAAGGTGGTACATATCTCTAGTAGGAATCAAAATGAGAGCCATTCTGGATTGATATTAAAGATCCACACCAGTCTGGACAAAGGACAAGCAGCAGTAGGGATCGGAATCTCAGCAACAGACAACATGGGAAGATTGCAAGCAATTTGGGCACTCAGAGAATGTTCATCAGGCGACACTTTACAAGACCAGGCTGTTGCAGTTAGGCTAAGCTCTACTGAAAGCTGGAAGCCAAGGCTGGAGGAACATCAGAATGGAACTGGACAACCGCAAGCTGGTAGATGCCATAAAGGAATCAAGGCTCAACAATCAGCAGATGGCTACATTAATAGAGGACATTAGATCAATCTGTACTTTGTTTCATCAGTGCTCCATCTTTTTTGCCAACTCTAGGAAATTAGAATGTATTAAGTTGAGCATTTATGCTCTAAACATCTGGGTAGACGAATAATGGGTGAATCCCAATCTTAGATGCTAGGCATCAGTGATCTTGTGGGACAGTTTGTCCGTTTGATTGGACCCTTGTCCAAATACTGTAAAGTTTACGGATATATATATAAAGCTAACGTTTTGACAATAAAAAAACATATCTCTAGTAGGACATATATTTTAGTGTATTTTTAAATTTTGCAGTGTAAAATGTTTGCCCCTCACAAAACCGAGGGGTATCTGCTGTCACTGGCAGTGACGATGGGATATGGTGTAAGTACTGCAAAAATAAATGTATGAATTAAAATAATATAAGTAGATGCCAACACAATAATAGGTAAAAATATATGTACAATAATTTTTAGCTCTCATTGAAATTTATGCTCAAAATTTTGTTATATTTTATCATCATGTTATGTTAGTATCTACATTCACTATATTAATATTTACATTTGTTATAATAACAGACGTTTTGTACTATATCATGCTGTCACCAAAAACCCTTAGTATCCCCTAGAAGTTGGTTATTGCCACCACTTTCATACACGTGTTAAAGTCGTTAGAACTTAGAATACTGTAGGAAAGTGGGAGATGGTAATGGTTGCAGCAAGCGCCACCAACAATAGCCACTAAAAAATTAGAAGTTAAAAAAAATAAAATAGAAACAAAGGATTTCTTGTGTGAAAATATTTATCCAAGTGCATGAAAAGTTACATATATTTATTAAACATGAATTAATGGGCATTTATGTAAATTTTTTTGGATTTCCATAATCTTACCACTATACATATATATATGTATGTATGTAATATATGTATGAAAGTTGTCATTTTAATTATTCATATTCTTTCTTCTAGGTGGCATGACTAATTGAAAAGAATTAATTGATTATTTGGATACTTAGGTTTCGCCCATATTTGCATCCACCTTTTTTTTTATAATTAATTTTCCTTATAGTTTTTTTTTCTCCTCAAACAACTTTATCTTTTTTAATAGATTTAGTTATTTGCTCTTATGGTTCCTTTTCTTTTAACAAAAAATCAAATTTTTTTATAATTTGGTACAAAATTTTTATCCAGATGAATTAACTTAGTCTACAAAAAAAAAAAATTAACTGTTACACTAATAGATTTATCAATATTGCTGAAAATTGAATATTTATTGATTAAGAAAATAAATTACTAGATCTTTTGTACTTTTAATTAAGTATGAATATGTAGTTATAGATTTATAGTGACTATAAAATTTTTGATTATCTAAAAGAATATCTATATATAAAAAAGAGAATATATATCGATTTTTGACATATGTTACAATATTTGATGAATTCTATTATATTATAGTAAATGTATGTAAGGAAGTTTCTAAGAATTAGTATGATAGTTAGCATTTAGGATACATCAATTTGCTAAAATTAATATAAAAAATTTGTGGGATCGTTGTTAATTTTTTATTTAAATTATTAATGTTTACACAAATACACAATAAAAAAGAATGTACTAAGGCACGGGGCAAGATACTAGTATGATATGACTTAGAGGTGGCAATACGGATAAATGGTTCATAATTGGTTTTGACTTAATGGATGGTGGATGAAATTTATCCAATCCATTTAGATCCATTTAATAAATGGATTTAAATAGATGGATCTAAATGGATTAAATAAAAACCAATTATCCATTTATAATCCATTTAAATATTATTTACTCATTGGAGCAATCAGTATCTCTGACTGAAACGATATATACATACATGGTAAAACACAAAACAGCCTTGAGGGTGGGAAGGTTTGTGCCTTGATTTGTATAATTATGGGAGGCTGCCCATTTTTCTGCTAGGCCCTCTCCTTCAAGCTTTCGATCCACATCCGACATCTTAGGCCGGTGGGCGGGGAGGTATTGAGTGCAAAGTAGAGCAACTTGGAGCATCTCACCCACCTCAATCCGGTCACAGTTGATCCCCAATTCTCTATCCACCAAAACTTCAATTTTATTTGGTTTTTAAGTAAATGGATATATATGGTTTTTATGGATAATCCATATAAATCCATTTAATTTAATGGTTTTACTTTGATCAACCATTTAAAACCAATACTATAAATGAATAATCCAAATCTATTTAATTATGAATTATATGAATGGATAAATGGATTTCAATCCAAATTGCCACCTCTAATATGACTATTGTTATTAGGTCGTCAATTCGCCTAAAGCTAGGCAAGTTGGTTTGGTATTGATATACTCCAGTTTATATCAATTTTAAACACTACCATTAATTACTCTTACGGTTTATTTTCTTTTATAATTCAAATGTATTATGCTACTAAATTAAGTGTTTTTATGTATGAAACGTGTTGAGATATTTTTAAAATATAAAAATAACACTATATGCTACTACCGCCCATCTCCACCACCATCGCCGTTGCCACTATCATTGTCACCATCCTCTCTCCCTTCCCCTTCCTCATCCCTTTCCCCCTTCATCCTTTTTCATTCTCAAATTTGGTTGCGACTGGAAGGCCGTGATTAGAAAATGATCGGATGAAGAATCTTTGATTATGACCAAAGGTTGCGTTTAGAAGGGGAAAAGGGAGGGGAGGTTTGGTGGGGGAGGGAACGGAGGGGAGGTTTGGCGGAGGGACGGGGATGGAGGGGAGGAAAAGAAAGGAGGAGGAAAGCCGGAACGAAAGGAGGGAGATGAGAGATGAAGAGGAAGAAGAGGGGACGGTGAAGGTGGTGATATTGATGATAGTCAGTCGTGATAGAAATTATCTCTAATTAAATGTATTTAACGCTATATAAATTAGATATTTTTAAAATTATTTTTGAAGAATGTTATCGTAAGCTCCACGTATATTAAAATAACAAGCAGACCCGATGTTTTAAATTTGCACGCTCGATTAAATCACCCCGCAAGTGTGGCCCCTAGAGGGGCTAAGGACGGAGCAATGAATGAAAGTTGCGGAGCAGTCACCGCAGAGAGAGAACGGGATGGAAGCCAAAGTCCACAGAGGGGACGCCTGGCCCCATTTTTCTGTCGCTTCTTTCCGTGACAGTAGTCTTTCCATCGTACACGTTACCAATTCTTTCAACTACAAGAGTTTCGATCCACTGCAATCAAAAGTCTCAGGGTTGCACCTCCAACCGGACACCTTGCATGGTAATCAGCCGTCGAACATAACTTGAATGACATATCACCCTTGCCAAAGGAACAGCTCTACTCCCTTCCAGACTTCTCTCCTCGCCGACACGTGGGACTGGGGACTTCCGCGTACTGCAATGAGAGTACCTTGGGAAAGCAAAAGCTTACAATAGAAGGCCCACCTGAACCTTAACGACAAACATGTTCGCGCACTTTATTTAATTAGATCACTTAATCATTTTTTATTCTTCACAGTCACGGCAGCCTCTCACTCCAAGACCAAACCAATACGAAAGAGCCACCACAGTCACTCGGGTAAAGTGAATCTACAGAAGTCACAGAAAAGAAAAGGGTTGCGGTTTATACGCACGGGGTTTGGTCCAGCAAAAGAATTACTGCTACATGCGCTAGCTAGAATACAAAAGAGATTAAGCGGAGGTGGGATTTTCCCATTTTGCTGAATTCTGACGATGACAAAATGAAAATTGAAGTACACCTTTAGGCAATAGGTCTCTTCACTTTAGGTCACATGCTGATCTTATAACGGAGAGTTGGTGGAAAAAACAGTTAAGGCTCCCCCACCCGACCCAAAACTCACACCAAACACACATTAGAGGTGTGCATCATAGAGCTTCCCGGACGGTTCACTTGGTGTAAAGGCATGGTTTTATGCAGATAATACTACTGGGGAAGGATTTTGGACCGATTTAACTGAACGATCGAAAAGGTAAATCAGATTCACATCAGTTTCTTGAAAGAAAAAAAGGGTTCCTCAGAAATTGAAACTGTATCTTTTACACTTGAAAAAGTAGAAAGGGTGCTTATGTCTGAGATCATGCATCGTCCAAAGTGCGATTTTGCAGGGTGATGAAATTTGTTAGTCTGATGATTTTTCTTAACGTTCTTAAGATAGTACTAGTTAAGATTTCAGCAGTACTTTTGAGTTTGTGCAAAGTGATCTAATTGGCATCTGAAATCTAGCTCTAAGATTGTTCTAGTGGCTACTGTTAGCTGTTCAAGATTTCCGAGAAAAAAGTGTACTTAATAATTATTGACTTGAAGCTTTGGCATATTTTAGCTTATAAATCTGCACGAACTAAGGAAAAATTGTTCCTTTTTCCCTCAAAATAGAAAATAGAGTGAAAGAATTATTCAGGTGATATGGTGAAACTGGTTTTTTTCATCACATTCCTTGGAATCCCGATTTCTTAACAAACCCACCCCCCCCCCCCCAAAACCAAAAAA